TGCCTGGTCCAGGAGCTTGCCTGGTCCAGGAGCGTGCCTGGTCCACGAGCGGGCCTAGTCCAGGCGCTCGCGTGGTCCAGGAGCTTGCCTGGTCCAGGAGCTTGCCTGGTCTAGGAGCTTGCCTACTCAAGGAGCTTGCCTGGTCCAGGAGCCTGCCAGGTCCATGAGTTTGCCTAGTCCAAGAGGTTGCCTGGTCCACGAGCTCGCCTGGTCTATTAGCATGCCTGGTCAAGGAGCTTGTGTGGTCCAGGAGCTTGCCTGGTCCAGGAGCTTGCGTGGTCCAGGAGCGTGCCTGGTCCGCGAGCTTGCCTAGTCCAGGAGCTTGCGTGGTCCAGGAGCTTGCTTGGTCCAGAAGCCTGCCTGGTCCGAGAGCTTGCCTGGTCGAGGAGCGTGCCTGGTCCAAGAGCTTGCGTGGTCCTGGAGCTTGCGTGGTCCAGGAACTTGCTTGGACCAGAAGCGTGCCTGGTCCAAGAGCTTGCCTGGTCTAGGAGCGTGCCAGGTCCAAGAGCTTGCGTGGTCCAGGAGCTTGCCTAGTCCAGGAGCTTGCCTGGTCCAGGAGCGTGCCTAGTCCATGAGCATGCCTGGTCCAAGAGCGTGCCTGGTCCAAGAGCGTGCTTGGTCTACGAGCGTTCCTGGTACTGGAGCTTGCCTGGTCTAGGAGCTTGCTTGGTCCAGACGCCTGCCTGGTCCAAGAGCTTGCCAGGTCCACGAGCATGCCTGTTCGAAGACCTTGTGTGGTCCAGGAGCTTGCCTGGTCCAGGAGCTTTCCTGGTCCGGGAGCTGACTTGATCCAGAAGCTTGCTTGGTCCAAGAGCTTGCCTGGTCCAGGAGCGTGCCTGGTCCACAAGCTTGCTTGGTCCACGAGCTTGCCTGGTCTAGGAGCTTGCCTGGTCCAAGATCGTGCCTGGTCCACGAGCGTGCCTGGTCCAAGAGCTTGCCTGGTCCAGGAGCTTGCCTGGTCCACGAGCTTGCGTGGTCCAAGAGCGTGCCTGGTCCACAAGCCTGCCTAGTGTAAGAGCTTGCCTGGTCCAGGAGCGTGCCTGGTCCACGTGCGTGCGTGATCCAGTAGCTTGCTTGGTCCAGGAGCTTGCCTGGTCCAGGAGCTTGCCTTGTCAAGGAGCGTGCCTGGTCTAGGAATGTGCCTGGTCTAGGCAAGCTCCTGGACCAGCTAGCTCAGGGACCAGGCAAGTTCCTAGACCAGGCAAGGTCCTGGACCAGGCAAGCTCCTGGACCAGGCAAGCTCCTAGACCAGGCAAGCTCCTGGACCAGGCACGCTCGTGGACCAGGCAAGCTCGTGGGCCAGGCAAGATCTTGGACCAAGCAAGCTCCAGGACTAGGCACGCTCGTGGACCAGGCACACTCCTGGACCAGGCACGCCCCTGGACCAGGCAAGCTCGTGGACCAAGCAAGCTCCTGGATCAGGCACGCTCGTGGACCAGGCACGCTCGTGAACCAGGCAAGCTCTTAGACCAGGCAGGCTTGTGGAACAGGCACGCTCTTGGAACAGGCAAGCTCCTGGACCAGGCAAGCTCCTGGACCAGGCAAGCTCCTGTACCAGGTACCCTCGTGGACAAGGCACGATTCCGGACCAGGCAAGCTCCTTGACCAGGCAAGCTCCTGGACCAGGCAAGCTCTCGGACCTGGCAAGCTCCTGGATCGGGCAAGCTCCTAGACCAGGCACGCTCCTGGACCAGGCAAGCTCATGGAGCATGCAAGCTTCGGGACCAGGCAAGCTCGTGGACCAGGCAATCTCCTGGACCATGCAAGCTCCTGGACTAGGCAAGCTCCTGGACCAGGCAAGCTCATGAACCAGGCAGGCTCAAGGACCAGGCACGCTCCTGGACCGGGCAAGCTCCTGGACCTGGCAAGCTCCTGAACCACGCAAGCTCTTGGACCAGGCACGCTCCTAGACCTGGCAAGCTCCTGGACCACGCAAGCTCCTGGACCAGGCAAGCTCCTTGACCAGGCTACCTCCTAGACCAGAAAGCTCCTGGACCAGGCACGCTCGTGGACCATGCATGCTCTTGGACTTTGGCAAGCTCTTGGACAATGCAGGCTTGTGGACTAGGCAAGATCCTGGACCAGGCAAGCTCCTGGACCAGGCAAGCTCCTCGACCAGGCAAGCTCCTGGACCAGGCTCGCTCGTGGACCAGGCACGCTCCTGGACCAGGCAAGCTCTTGGACCAGGTAAGCTCGTGGATCAGGCATGCTCCTGGACCAGGCAAGCTGTTGGACCAGGCAAGCTCCTAGACCACGCAACCTCTTGGACCAGGCACGCTCCTTGACCAGGCAAGCTCTTGAACCAGGCAGGCTTCAGGACCTAGCAAGCTCCTGGACCAGGCAAGCTCGTGGACCAGGCAAGCTTCTTGACCAGGCTAGCTCTTGGACCACGCACGCTCGTAGACTAGGCAAGATCTTAATCCAAGCAAGCTCCTGGACCAGGCAAGCTCCTGGAACATGCAAGCTCCTGGACCAGGCCTGCTCCTGGACCAGGCAAGCTCTTGGACCAGGAAAGCTCCTGGACCAGGCAAGCTCCTGGACAAGGCAAGCTAACGGATCAAGAAAGCTCCTGAACAAGGCAAGCTCCTGGACCAGGCACGCTCTAGGAACAGGCAAGCTCCATGACCAAGCAAGCTCCTGGACCAGGCAAGCTCCTGGACCAGGAGAGCTCTTGGACCAGGCAAGCTCCTGGACCAGGCACGCTCCTGGACAATGCAAACTCCTAGACCAGGCAAGCTCAAGGACCAGGCAAGCTCCTAGACCAGGCAAGCTCCTCGACCACGCAAGTTCTTGGACCAGGCACGCTCCGGGCCCACGCAAGCTCTTAGGCCAGGCGGGCTTCTTGACCAAGCAAGCTCCTGGACGAGGCAAGCTCCTGGACCAGGCAAGCTCTTGGACTAGGCAAGCTTCTGGACCAGGCAAGCTCCTGGACCAGGCACGCTGATGGACCAGGCACGTTCCTGGACCAGGCAAGCTCTTGGACCAGGCAGTTTCGTGGACCAAACACGTTCTTGGACCAGGCAAGCTCCTAGGCCAGGCAAGCTCCTTAACCAGGCAAGCTCCTGGACCAGGCACGCTTCTGGACGTGGCACGCTCCTGGACCAGGCAAGCTCATGGACAAGGCAAGCTCCTGGACCACGCAAGCTCTTGGACCAGGCACGCTCCTGGACCAGGCAAGCTCTTGGACCAAGAACGCTTCGGGACCAAGCAAGCTCCTGGACCAGGCAAGCTCCTAGACCAGCTAGCTCCTGGACCAGGCAAGCTCCAAGACCAGGCAAGCTCCTGGACCAGGCAAGCTCCTAGACCAGGCAAGCTCCTGGACCAGGCACGCTAGTGGACCATGCAAGCTCCTTGACCAAGCAAGCTCTTGGACCAGGCAAGCTCCTGGACCAGGCACGCTCGTGGACCAGGCACACTCTTGGACCAGGCACGCCCCTGGACCAGGCAAGCTCGTGGACCAAGCAAGCTCCTCGATCAGGCACGCTCGTGGACCAGGCACGCTCGTGGACCAGGCAAGCTCTTAGACTAGGCAGGCTTGTGGACCAGGCACGCTCTTGGACCAGGCAAGCTCCTGGAGCAGGCAAGCTCCTTGACCAGGCAATCTCCTGGACCAGGCACGCTCGTGGACCAGGCACGATCCTGGACCTGGCAATCTCTTGGACCAGGCAAGCTCCTGGACCACGCAAGCTCTTGGACCAGGCACGCTCCTGGACCAGGCAAGCTCTTGGACCAGGCAAGCTTCTGGACCAAGGAAGCTCTTGGACCAGGCAAGCTCCTGGTCCAGGCAAGCTCCTGGACCAAGCTAGCTCTTGGACCAGGCAAGCTCTTGGACGAGGCAAGCTCTTGGAACAGGCAAGCTCTTGGACCAGGCAAGCTCTTGGACCAGGCAAGCTCTTGGACCATGCAAGCTCTTGGACCAGGCATGCTCGTTGACCAGGCAAGCTCTTGGACCAGGCAGGCTTCTAGACCAAACAAGCTCCTAGACCAGGGAAGCTCCTGGACCAGGCAAGCTTCTAGATCAGGCAAGCTCCTGGACCAGGCAAGCTCTTGGACCTGGCAAGCTCCTGGACCAGGCAAGCACCTGGACCAGGCAAGCTCCTGGAGCATGCAAGCTTCTGGACCAGGCAAGTTCCCGGACCATGCAATCTCTTGGATGAGGCAAGCTCCTGGACTAGGCAAGCTCCTAAACCAGGCAGGCTCGTGGACCAGGCACGCTCGTGGACCGGGCAAGCTCCTGGAACTGGTAAGCTCCTGGGCCACGCAAGCTCTTGGACCAGGCACGCTCCTAGACTTGGCAAGCTCTTGGACCACGCAAGCTCCTGGACCAGGCAAGTTCATTGACCAGGCTAGCTCCTAGACCAGGCGAGCTCCTGGACCAGGCAAGCTCTCGGACTAGGCAGGCTCGTGGACTAGGCAAGCTCCTGGACCAGGCAAGCTCCTGACCATGCAAGCTCCTCGACCAGGCAAGCTCCTAGACCAGGCAAGCTCCTAGACCACACAAGGACCGCAAGCGGCCCCCTCAGGTCGCCTCGACAGGCGACGGGAGAGGCCAGCAGAGGGGTGGCAGGTGTGTGGCCTCCCCTGCTTCTCCTCCTCCTTCATCGCTCACCTGCAGCAGCCGAGCCGCCCCACCGCCGAGCCGCCCTGCACCCGAGCCGCCCAGCAGCCGAGCTGCCCTGCCGCCGAGCCGCCGGGTCGCTGAGCTGCTGAGCTGCAGTTGCTGCCGAGCCGCCCTGCCGCCGAGCCGCCGAGTCACCGAGCTGCTGAGCTGCAGTTGCTGCCGAGCCGCCTTGCCGCCGAGCCGCCCGAGTCGCCCGAGCCACCGAGCCGCCGAGCTGCCGAGCCGCTGAGTCGCCGAGCCTACTCTTCCCACCACTGGTGAGCTCTTGCCCTGCTAGCACGCTCACGTCGCCTGCTTGCCTGCCTGCCTGCCTTTTGGCTTGCCTGGCTGCCTGCCTTCCTGCTGCTAGTCCTGCTCCTGCTTCTACTTGCGGAGCCAGATGCAGCCCCAGCGACACCTGCGTGAGTCCCTCACGCCCCAGCAGCTGCGTGAGTGGTACGCTGGTTGGGGCTGTAGGGGTGGCGACGCTACTCCTACTTCCACTCCTGCTGCTTCTACTCGTGGTGGCGGCCAGATGCAGCTCCCGCGACCCTCTCGCGTGTCTCTCACGCCTCGCCAGCTTCGTGAGTGGTACGCTCAGAGTGGAGGGTCTCTCAGTGCTGTTCGCTGCTCTTACGTGATTCGCACTGGTACTCGGACTGGTCAGCCTTGTGGGACACGTAGTCATACACAGTCCCGCTGCTTCGCCCTTCTGAGCGACGCCTGGCGTACCGTGTTTGGCGACGAGGCTGAGCTCCCCGACTGGGTGGAGTTGCTTAGGCAGAGGGTAGATATATATGCTCTTGACTATGATGCTATTCTCACTGCCATGTATGCATTGCCTACTAGTGCTGACCGTGCCGGTCACCTGTGCGTCCCGCCTGACCCAGGTATAGGACCTGCTGCTCTAGCTACTGGTGAGGCTGCTGCTCTGGGTGCTAGTGAGTCTCCTGCTCCAGGTACAGGTGCGGCTGCTGCTCTAGGTGCTAGTGAGTCTGCTTCCTCAGGTGCGGGTGAGGCTGCGCTCTCAGGTACCGCGTTGGCTTCGGCCTCCCTCACCTTTACACTTGACTCTGGGGCTTCTCGCTCCTTCTTTCGGGACCGCACCACACTCACGCCGCTTGGTCGGCCGGTTGCTGTCTCCCTGGCTGACCCCTCTGGGGGTCCTGTCCTCGCTCACTTCTCCACTGTCCTCCCGTGTCCGGCTGCCCCCTCGGGCACCCTGTCTGGCCTGTACCTCCCCTCGTTCTCGACGAACTTGGTGAGTGGTGCAGACCTACAGGATGCGGGGGTTCACCAGTTCACTCCTGCGAGTCAGCGGGTGACCCACTGCACGGACGCACGCACAGGCCGGCACTTGGCCACGTTCTCGCGTCGGCCGGGGTCGAGCCTCTACACCCTGACCACTGAGTCTCCTCCTGTCCCCGCGTCCGGTCAGGTAGCAGCGTCGGGTCAGGTGTTTGCTGCTGCGTCCAGGTCTGGTCCTGAGTCTGCCCCCTGTTCGTGTCGCCTCCTGTCTCACGAGACTCTTCTGTGGCACCACCGTCTAGGCCACCCCTCCTTGCCCCGTCTTCGGGGCATGGCTTCCCGTGTCCTTGTCTCTGGTCTTCCCCAGTCTCTCCCTCCCCTTCCTTCGGGACCAGGACCTTCCTGTGTCCCCTGTGTCGAGGGGCGCCTCAGGGCTGCTCCTCACTCCTCCCAGTTTCCCCCGACAGAGGCTCCTCTGCAGACGCTTCACATGGACGTGTGGGGCCCGGCCCCCGTCCGTGGGCAGGGTCACGAGCGCTACTTCCTGTTGGTGGTTGACGACTACTCGCGTTACACCTCAGTCTTCCCCTTGCGCAGCAAGGGTGCTGTCACTGAGGTGCTGATCGACTGGATCCGCGAGGCTCGTCTCCAGCTCAGGAGGAGCTTCGGCTCGGACTTTCCTGTTCTGCGTCTGCACTCTGACCGAGGTGGGGAGTTCTCCTCTCGCCTTCTGCGAGACTACTGTCGTGCACAGGGGATCCGCCAGACCTTTACGCTTCCGGACTCTCCACACCAAAATGGGATTGCTGAGCGCCGCATTGGCATGGTCATGGATGTCGCTCGTACGTCCATGATGCATGCGGCTGCCCCCCATTTTCTGTGGCCGTTTGCGGTTCGGTACGCGGCGCATCAGCTCAACCTTCACCCCAGGGTCTCTCGGCCCGCGATGTCCCCAGTGTTACTGTGGACAGGGAAGGTCGGCGATGCGTCTGCGTTCCGTGTCTGGGGATCTCGGGCGTTTGTCCGCGACTTGTCTGCGGACAAGCTATCCCCCCGTGCTGCTCCCTGTGTCTTCCTTGGCTTCCCCCCTGACGCTCCAGGGTGGCAGTTCTACCACCCCTCCTCTCGTCGTGTTCTGTCCTCCCAGGACGTCACGTTCGACGAGTCAGTCCCCTTCTACCGCCTCTTCCCCTACCGTACTCCTTCCCTCCCCCCCCCACCGGACTTCCTGGTACCAGTTCCCCCCCCGGTAGACCCCCTCCCCCCTCAGGTTCCTGCCCCTTCAGGTGTGTCCCAGGTAGACACGGTCGAGCCAGTCGAGGTTGCTGCTGAGTCTGGTCCTGCTGCGGGTGCTGAGCCTGGGGGTGCTGAGCCTGGGGGTGCGAGGCCGGGGGGTGCTGAGTCTGGGGGTGCTGAGCCGGGGGGTGCTGAGCCGGAGGGTGCTACGTCAGGAGCTGCTGAGCCTGGGGGTGCTGGGCCTGGAGGTGCGGAGCCTGCGCCTGCTGGACCTGGGGGCTCTCCGGTTCTTCCGTCTCGGCGGGAGCCGCTCTCTCCACAGGAGCTGCGCGAGTGGTTTGCTCGCCGCTGGAGGCGTGCTGCTGGAGCTGGAGCTTCTTCGCCTGCTGAGGGTGCTGCCGGTCCCGGAGCTGCTGGGCCTGCGAGTCCTACTGGAGCTGGAGCTACTGAGTCTGGGGGTGCTGAGTCTGGAGCTGCTGAGCCTGGAGGTGCTGAGTCTGGAGCTGCTGAGCCTGGGGGTGCTACGTCTGGAGCTGCTGTGCCTGGGGGTGCTGAGTCTGGAGCTGCTGAGCCTGGGGTTTCTCCTGCTGCTGCGTCTCGCCGGGAGCCCCTCTCTCCACAGGAGCTGCGCGAGTGGTTTGCTCGCCGCTGGAGGAGTGCTGCTGGAGCTGGAGCATCGTCGACCGTCGAGGGTGCTGGTGCTGCCGGTCCCGGAGCTGCTGGGCCTGCGGGTCCTACTGGAGCTGGAGCTGCTGAGGGTGTTGGTGCTGAGACTACTGCTGTCTGTCGTGGCGGTGGTTCTGCTGCTGGTGCTGCTGGAGGTCCTGCCGCTGGAGGTGTTGGTGGCGCTGGTGCTGTCGCTGAGGGTGCTGGTGCTGTCCCTGCTGAGTCTGGAGCTGCCGCGCGGCCTCGGCCGTACTTCGTTCCGCTCCTACAGCAGGTTCTTGGTCTTTCTCCTTCGGTAGAGTGTCCACAGCCTGTCCAGTCGCAGTCACTGTTGGAGCCTTCCTCTCCTCTGCCTGCTCCCTCTCCTTACACTGGTCCTACTGAAGGTCTTGCTGAGCGTCGTGAGCCTGCGTCTCGTCCCGCGTCGCCGGTTCGTGCTGCTCGCGCTATTGGTCGCGGTTCGCGTCAGCTTCCTCCTCTTGTCCCTGGCACGCACCGGATGTCTCTGCGTCCGTCCACTGCTCCTCTGCGTGCCCCTTTGCCTTCTCCTCCTAAGTCCTCTCTTCCTGCGCTTGCCGACCCTGAGTCGGACTCTCTTCGCGCTGCCAGTCCTACTGTCACGCGTCTGCTTGCTACTGTCGTCACTGACCCCTCTTTTGAGTCCACTGCTGCGTCTGCTCTAGTCGCTGAGCTCGTTGACTTTGCTGCTCGCTGTCGTCTCGACTACGCTGCTAGTCTTGTTGCTGAGTCTGCGTCTGTCTGTCCTCCGTCCGTCGGGGGTGAGTGTGCTCTTGGCACGGACGTCCTAGAGGACAGGCAGGAGGAGTTACAGTGTCTAGCGGCTGCTTCACCTCATCTCGCGTCTGTACTGCTTGCCCCTGAGGGAGACCCGGATGCACTAGACATCCCGACTCCGCGTTCTTACGCGGAGGCCGTAGAGGGTCCCTACTCCTCTCAGTGGCAGGCAGCTATGGATGCAGAGATGGCTTCCTGGAAGTCCACAGGCACCTACGTTGACGCGGTTTCCCCTCCTGGGGCGAACATCGTCAGTGGCATGTGGATCTTCAGGGTGAAGCGGCCGCCGGGCTCTCCACCTGTCTTCAAGGCATGGTACGTTGCTCGTGGCTTCAGTCAGCGGCAGGGAGTTGACTACTTTCAGACCTTCTCTCCCACCCCGAAGATGACCACTCTTCGGGTGCTGCTGCACATAGCCGCTCAGCGCGACTACGAGCTTCACTCTCTCGACTTCAGCACTGCGTTCCTGCAGGGTAGCCTGCACGAGGAGATCTGGCTGCGCCGTCCACCTGGCTTCACTGGGACTTTCCCTCCTGGCACCCAGTGGAGCCTCCGACGGCCAGTCTACGGTCTCCGCCAGGCACCGCGTGAGTGGCACGACACACTGAGGACTACGCTTGCGGCTCTTGGGTTTGCTCCTTCTACTGCTGACCCGTCGCTGTTTCTGCGCACCGACACTTCACTGCCGCCGTTCTACATCCTCGTGTACGTCGACGACTTGGTCTTTGCCACAGCGGACACTGCTGGACTCGCCTACGTGAAGTCCGAACTGCTGAAGAGACACACGTGCACAGACCTGGGTGAACTGCGCAGCTACCTTGGCTTGCAGATCACTCGGGACAGAGCACGCCGCACCATTACCTTGACTCAGTCACACATGGTGCAGCAGGTCCTTCAGCGCTTTGGCTTCACGTACTCCTCGCCTCAGGCCACTCCTCTGCCTACTCGCCACTCACTCTCAGCTCTGCCTTCGGATGAGTCCGTAGAGTCGAGTGGTCCGTATGCAGAGCGTGTTGGCTGCCTCATGTACCTGATGACCTGCACACGACCTGACCTTGCATACCCTCTGAGCATTCTTGCACGCTATGTTGCTCCTGGGAGACACAGACCAGAGCACATGGCTGCAGCGAAGAGGGTATTGCGCTACCTGTGCAGTACGTCGGGCATGGGGCTAGTGCTTTGAGGGCGGAGTCCAGTGGTCCTTACCGGCCACGCGGACGCTTCTTGGGCTGACGACCAGGCTACGCAGCGGTCGTCACAGGGTTACACCTTCAGCCTTGGTTCCGGCTCTGTCTCGTGGCGGTCTACTCGCTCGTCTTCGGTTCTCGGCTCCAGTTGTGAGGCTGAGATCTACGCCGGGGCCATGGCTGCACAGGAGCTTCGCTGGCTCACCTACCTGCTGACTGACCTTGGAGAGCCACCTCGTTCTCCTCCAGTGCTGTACGTAGACAACAAGGCCATGCTGGCCTTGTGTCGAGAACAGCACTTGGAGCACAGAACGAAGCACATTGCTCTCCGCTACTTCCTTGCTCGTGAGCTGCAGCAGCGTGGTCAGTTGCGACTTGCGTACGTGGCCTCTGAGGCCAACACTGCTGATGTGTTCACCAAGGCACTCGCGCCTTGTGACCATCAGCGCTTTTGCACCCAGCTGGGTCTTGTGCCTGTCTTGCCTCACTTGCTCTCCTCTTGACTTCACTTGTACTGTGACATATATATATACCTGCTCTTGCTTGTCTAGTTTTATATATATGTCTGTACTCCTGCATGTGAACTGGCCTCTGGCCCTGCTCTTGTGCTCGGACTGTGTGGTGACTTTGTGATCCACCCTGAGCTTGCTTTGCTTTGCTTGACTGGTCTTGTGACCCCTTGTTCTCCCCCACTTTGCCTATGGGGGTGTGTCAAACATTATATATGTTCTGCTTGTGTAGGCTACAGTGGGTTAGCCTATAGGGGGTACACAATTTTAGGGTTTCCTACTTGTACTCATTTCACTGCTAGTTCATCCATTCCTGTTCGCTTATTCTCACACTTGGAACATGCAAGCTCCTAGACCAGGCAAGCTCCTGGACCAGGCAAGCTCTTGGACCAGGCAAGCTCCTAGACCAGGCAAGCTTACGGATCAAGAAAGCTCCAGGACAAGGAAAGCTCCTCGACCAACCACGCTCTAGGAACAGGCAAGCTCCTTGACCAAGCAAGCTCCTGGACCAGGCAAGCTCCTGGACCAGGATAGCTCCTGGACCAGGATAGCTCCTGGACTAGGCAAGCTCCTGGACCAGGCACGCTCCTGGACAATGCAAGCTCCTAGACCAGGCAAGCTCCTCGACCAGGCAAGCTCCTCGACCAGGCAAACTCGTGGACGAGGCACGCTCCTCGACCAGGCAAGCTTCTGGACCAGGCAAGCTCCTAGACCAAGCAAGCTCTTGGACTAGGCAAGCTCCTGGACCACGCAAGCTCTTGGACCAGGCAAGCTCTTGGACCAGGCAAGCTCCTAGACCAGGCAAGCTCCTGGACCAAGCAAGCTCCGAACAAGGCAAGCTCCTGGACCAGGCAAGCTCCTGGACCAGGCACGCTCTTGGACTAGGCACGCTCCTAGACGGGGCAAGCTCTTGGACAATGCAAGCTCCTAGAACAGGCAAGCTCGTAGACAAGGCAAGCTCCTAGACCAGGAAAGCTCCTGGACCAAGCAAGCTCCTAGACCAGGCAAGCTTGTGGACCAGGCACGCTCCAGGACCAGGCAAGCTCTTGGACCAGGCAAGCTCAAGGACCAGGCAAGCTCCTGGACCAGGCAAGCTCCTGGACCAGGCAAGCTCAAGGACCAGGCACGCTCTTGGAACAGGCAAGCTCCTGGACCAGGCTCGCTCGTGGACCAGGCACGCTCCTCGACCAGGCAAGCTCCTGGACTAGGCAAGCTCCTGGACCAGGCAAGCTCGTGGACTAGGCACGCTTCTGGACCAGGCAAGCTCCTGGACCAGGCAAGCTCCTGGACCACGCAAGCTCTTGGACCAGGCACGCTCCTGCACCAGGCAAGCTCTTGGACCGGGAAGGCTTTAGGACCAAGCTAGCTCTTGGACCAGGCAAGCTCGTGGACCAAGCAAGCATCTGGACCAGGCAAGCTCTTGGACCAGGCAAGCTCTTGGACCACGCAAGCTCCTGGACCAATCAAGCTCTTGGACTAGGCAAGCTTCTGGACCAAGCAAGCTTCTGGACCAGGCAAGCTTCTGGACCAGGCAAGCTTCTGGACCAGGCAAGCTCCTGGGCCAGGCAAGCTCCTGGAACATGCAAGCTCCTGGACCACGCAGGCTCCTGGACCAGGCAAGCTCGTGAACCAGGCAAGCTCGTGGACCAGGCACGCTCCTAGACCAGGCAAGCTCGTGGACCAGGCAAGCTCCTGGACCAGGCAAGCTCCTAGACCACGCAAGCTCTTGGACCAGGCACGCTCCTGGACCAGGCAAGCTCCTAGACCCGGCAAGCTCCTGGACCAGGCAAGCTCGTGGACCAGGCAAGCTCTTCGACCACGAAAGCTCCAGGACGAGGCAAGCTTCTGGACCAGGCAAGCTAACGGACCAAGAAAGCTCCTAGACAAGGCAAGCTCTTGGACCAGGCACGCTGCTGGAATAGGCAAGCTCCTGGACCAGGCAAGCTCCTGGACCAGGCAAGCTCTTGGACCAGGATAACTTCTGGACTAGGCAAGCTCCTGGACCAGGCACGCTCCTGGACCATGCAAGCTCCTAGACCAGCCAAGCTCCTGGACCAGGCAAGCTTCTGGACCAGGCAAACTCGTGGATCAGGCACGCTCCTGAACAAGGCAAGCTCCTGGACCAGGCAAGCTCCTGGACCAGGCAAGCTTCTAGACAAGGCAAGCTCCTAGACCAGGCAAGCACTTGGAGCAGGCACGCTCATGGACCAGGCAAGCTCCTAGACTAGGCAAGCTCTTGGACTAGGCACGCTCCTGGACCAGGCAAGCTCTTGGATCAAGCAGGCTTCTGGACCAAGAAAGCTCTTGAACCAGGCACACTCCTGGACCAGGCACGCTCCTGGACAAGGCATGCTCCTTGACCAGGCAAGCTCCTGGACCAAGCAAGCTCCTGGACCATTCACGCTCGTGGACCAGGCACGCTCCTGGACCAGGCAAGCTCTTGGACCAGGCAGGCTCCTGGAGCAGGCAAGCTCCTAGACCAAGCAAGCTCCTGGACCAAGCAAGCTCATGGTCCAAGCAAGCTCGTGGACCAGGCACGCTCGTGGACCAGGCACGCTCCTGGACCAGGCAAGCTCGTGGACACGGAACGCTCCTAAACCACGCAAGCTCCTGGACCACGCAAGCTCCTGGACCACGCAAGCTCCTGGACCAGGAATGCTCGTAGACCTGGCACGCTCGTAGACCAGGCAAGCTCCTGGACGAGGCAAGCTCCTGGACCACGCAAGCTCTGAGACCAGGCACGCTCCACGACCAGGCAATCTCCTAGACCAGGCAAGCTCGTAGACCAGGCAAGCTCGTGGACGAGGCAAGCTCTTGGACCAGGCAAGCTCCTAGAAAAGGCAAGCTCTAGGACCAGGCAAGCTCCTGGATCACACAAGCTCTTGGACCGGGCACGTTCCTGGACCAGGCAAGCTCTTGGACCAGGCAGGCTTCACGACCAAGCTAGCTACTGGACCAGGCAAGCTCGTGGACCAGGCAAACTTCTGGACCAAGCAAGCTCTTGGACCAGGCACGCTCCTGGACCAGGCAAGCTCTTGGACCAGGCAAGCTCCTGGAAAATTCAAGCTCCTGGACCAGGCAAGCTCTTGGACCAGGAAAGCTCCTGGTCGAGGCAAGCTCGTGGACCACGCAAGCTAACGGACCAAGAAAGCTCTTGGACAAGGCAAGCTCCTGGACCAGACACGCTCCTGGAACAGGCAAGCTCGTTGACCAGGCAAGCTCCTGGACTAGGCAAGCTCCTTGACCAGGCAAGCTCGTGGACCAGGCACGCTCCTGGACCAGGCAAGCTCCTGGACCAGGCAAGCTCCTGGACCAGGCAAGCTCCTAGACCAGGCAAGCTCCGTGACCACGCAAGCTCCTAGACCTGGCAAGGTCCAAGACCAGGCAAGCTCCTGGACCAGGCAAGCTCATGCACCACACACACTCTTGAAGGAGGCAAGCTTCTGGACCAGGCAAGCTCCTGGACCACGCAAGCTCTTGGACCAGGCAAGCTCTTGGTCCAGGCAAGCTCCTGGACCTGGCAAGCTCGTGGACAAGGCAAGCTCCTAGACCAGGCAAGTTCGTGGACCAAGCAAACTCCTGGACCAGGCAAGCTCCTAGACCAGGCAAGTTCGTGGACCAGGCAAACTCTTGGACCAGGCAAGTTCCTGGACTAGGCAAGCTCCTTGACCAGGCAAGCTCGTGGACCAGGCACGCTCCTGGACCAGGCAAGCTCCTGGACCAGGCAAGCTCTTGGACCAGGCAAGCTTCTCGACCAGGCAAGCTCCATGACCACGCAAGCTCCTAGACCTGGCAAGGTCCTAGAGCAGGCAAGCTCGTGGACCAGGCAAGCTCATGCACCACGCACGCTCTTGAAGGAGGCAAGCTTCTGGACCAGCCAAGCTCCTGGACCACGCAAGCTCTTCGACCAGGCAAGCTCTTGGACCAGGCAAGCTCCTGGACCTGGCAAGCTCGTGGACGAGGCAAGCTCCTAGACCAGGCAAGTTCGTGGACCAGGCAAACTCCTGGACCAAGCAAGCTCCTAGACCAGGCAAGCTCGTGGACCAGGCAAGCTCATGGACCAGGCACGCTCCTGGACCAAGCAAGCTCCTGGAACACGCAAGCTCCTGGAACACGCAAGCTTTTGGACCAGGCACGGTCAGGAGCGTGACTGGTCCACGAGCTTGCCTTGTCCAGGAGCTTGCCTGGTCTAGGAGCTTGCCTAGTCCAGGAGCGTGCCTGGTCTAGGAGTGTGCCTGGTCTAGGAGCTTGCCTGGTCCAGGAGCTTGCCTGGTCCAGGAGCTTGCCTTGTCCAGGAGCGTGCCTGGCCCAGGAGTGTGCCTGGTCCTGGAGCTTGCTTGGTCCAGAAGCCTTCCTGGTCCAAGAGCTTGCTTGGTCCAGGAGCATGCCTAGTCCAAGAGCTAGCCTGGTCGAGGAGCGTGCCTGGTCGATGAGCGTGCCTGGTCGAGGAGCTTGCCTGGTCCAAGAGGTTGCCTTGTCCAGGAGCT